ATGTTAGATATGTGACAATGCACTGTTTTCCTTACTTAAATTCTTCTTTAAAAGCTACAAAAGTTACCACTTGCAAAACTGTGATGAGAGTGGTATGGCTGGTAATTAATTTTAAGGTTCATAAAACATATTATTTGAGGGAAAAAATATTTGCTTGTGTTATAACCTAACCAGGAAACCAAACATTGTTTTTTCAAGGTGATAACACTTAAATCAACATGAGCTGTCATTTCCTTGCTGAAACATCACCATCACCTCTGCCCTACCACCACTACCAAGAGCAATACTATTTGAAATAATTGTGATTAAGTAAGGTATTATTCCACAGATTATTATTATTATTATTGATATTTTAACTATTATTATTTTCTTATATTACCATGAGTTTGTTGGGACAAGAAGTTCAAAGACAGCTGGTGAACTATTATAGGAATAAATGATGATTTTGCTTTTAAAAATATAGCCATTAAGAACCTTAAATAATTAAGACCTTTTTTACATGGCTTTTAAAGGACAGTCAAGCTACATTTTCTTTTTAGTGTATTATAAATATGTAGGAAAAAAAACTATGAAATTGAATCATGATGAAATTTAAGGAAAAATCAAACTAAGAATTAGGGAATTAGGCAGAAAATTTTAGGTAATGGATTTGGATATATTGCATTTTATACATTTATAGATAAACTTTGTTTCCGCCAGGTCATTGAAACAATAAATAACTTTACCTGGCACTATGTATGTGTAGGTATTTGATATGTATGTATGTATGTATGTGTGTGTTTGTATATTGTAGAAATTTCAAATAGTAATTGCTTTATAAGGACAAGATAAAAAATAGATAGCAAATTTAAAATAATCCCTGGTATTTAGTTATTAGCAATTACAATAAATATATTTCCAAATTGAGAACCTTTGCAATGAGAGATATACTAAATCTACTCTGCTGAATTCATCAAAAGTTATAGGATAGAGGCATCCTAGTGATGATTCTACACTAGGATATTGGTGAGATTACCTTGTACTTTGCTATCACACTATTAAGTACATTTTAAAGTTAAAGTTCCTCCAACAGAAAAATCCTATATGATTAATTGTAAGACTAGAATGCTCTGTGTCCATATTTACAAATACATTAGAGCAGGAGCAAAGAGACATCAGTAACTCAGAAGCATTCAACATTTCACAACATGGGACATGGTACAGAAGGGAAAAAAATAGAGGCAATAAGCTTAAAAACATTTTTTTCCTTGATAACTACTGAATTAAAATGTTACCCCTCCAACAAACCTATAATAAGACAATGAGGACAATCTTTTTGTACCAAATACATTTTCTCACAAAAACTTGTAACAAGAAGCAAAGGAAGATTTCAGCCAAAAAATCCTAGAAGTATCTAGGAAGTAAGTGACTCAATGTGAAGTAATGTATGTCTAGGGTCAGGTACAGCCAAAATGTACTGTAATGTGGGAGGATGTGAAACCAAAGATAGGATATATACCTAACTTTCACACCTTTGCAGACAACTAATTTGCATTCTCATTCTCTCTCTCTCTTTTTCTTTCTCTCTCTCTTTTTCTTTCTTTCTTTCTTTCTTTCTTTCTTTCTTTCTTTTTCTTCTTTCTTTCTTTCTTTCTTCTTTTTCTTTCTCTCTCTCTCTTTCTCTCTCTCTCTCTCTCTCTCTCTCTCTCTCTCTCTCTCTCTCTCTCTCATATGACAGGCAGAAAATCTAGTCTGTTACTGAGGAAAGCTTAATTGTAAACTTTTTGGAGGTTAAAAACGCAGTCTCCAAGGAATTAAGGCATTTAATTCTATTAATTCTATTTATTTGTTACTGTTGAATATCACAGAACTAAGTAGGAAAAAAATAAGAAGGAAAAAAAGCCAGGGAAAAATAAGAAAAGAAATATATAGGAATATAAAAATAGAGAACAAATAATCAAATATAAGCTATTTAATTATATGAATAATCTTATTCCCTCAAATTATCTACTACTCATAATATTTCACCAAGTTTTCTATCAGTCTAGAAAGAAGTAGATCAGCATTCCCTTAAAAGCAACTTGGATCAGAAACTTAGGTCTATAAATGATTTCATGCTAATTTAGTACAAATGAAGAAGATGATTATTGGAATAGTGACATGATTTCTTCAAGTTCACACAGGTAGAAAAAAACTGGGATTTGAGCTCAAGTCTTTGGATTCTAAAGCAAGTGCCATAACATACCTGCTCCAACATGAAACATCCAAAATAGCTAATGTTTCTTATTTCAATATCATTCTAATTAGTGCCTCAATGTGTCTGCCTTCTTTATAGAAAATACAAACACTTACAAACATTAAGAGATTAAGCCAATGAATGTAAATATGAAAACTGTAAACAATCACTTTCTAAAAATGATTGCATTAACAATTTAACAATGTCATTTAAGTTTTTTTGGGGAAATTGTATTATAAAAGAATTACTGTCTGTATCTGTACATCTAGATGTTATATATTCAAACTTTCAAATAATACTTGCTTGCAGATTAAGCATGTTCAGTATTCTAAAGTTATGCTAACAATCTTCCAATTGACTTTAATCAAACCCTGCAGATTTTCCATCAAAACCACATTTCCAAAATATGCTGCCTGATTGAATTGATTTTTGGCTTACTTTCATTAGAAATTTTTGGTGGAAAAATGTATTTATCATTGCAAATATGTTTTCAAGATGTTTAGGGTTCATTATACTTCTGCTGAGAAATTACATCATCCAAGTATGAAAGCATATTGTTTTACTATGATGCATCCAGTGTATTATGTGTGTGTCTATTCATAGAATATAGGTCTGGTAAGGAGGATACAAGCTGTCACTCAGGCAAGTCCAATTAGTTTCTTATCTCTCTCATAATCAAGGTGACAAAATGAATTGTCCAGGGGTAGTCCTGATGAACTTAACAATGACAACAACAGCCATAAAAAAGGTAATGATGATGATGGTGACAACATTTACATAACACTACGTGCCAGACAACATGTGAAGAACTTTACAATTATTATCTCATTTAATCCTCACGACAACCCTGAGGGTAGGATAGCTGCTGTTATTATCCCCATTTTACAGATGAAGAAGCTGAGGCAAATGGTGGTTAACTGACTTGCCCAGGGTCATATAACTAATAAGTATCTGAAGCAGGATTTGAATTCAGGTCTTTCTGACTACAGGCCTGTCATTCTATCCACTGCACCACCTAGTTATGTTAGGGAGTATGAGAATGCATATTTATTTCAGTGTTTAAAATTTTGGTATAACATTTAATTTTTCCCATTCCTTCATTTTCCCCATCCAAACACTTGTAAGACCAGTCAATTAAATATCATAAATCTATTCCAGGTTTGAATGTTCTGTCTTTACAAATATTGCCATCATCCTAGTATAGGCTTAAATTGTCATTCACCTGTTCAGCTTTGAAAATCTTCTAACTGTTCTCCTTACATGTAATCTGTTTCCTGTCTAGTCTATTTTTCAACTTATTCCCATAATTATCTTCCATATATGTAATTCTGGTAATGCCACTCTTCCATTCAAAATTCTTGAAAAATCCCTATTTTTCTAATGAATAAAGTATATATTTCTTGATCTGACATTCAAGGCTCTATGCAATAACATAGTACCTCCCTATCTTTCCAGTTTTATCTCACACTACTTCCTTTATTCTTCCACACTACAGAAGCCTGCACTGCAGCAAAAATGGGATTTTTTACTACCTGTAATAGATATCCAGTGTTTTAACACCATCATTTCATTCATTATGTTTCCTAAATTTTGAATCTTTATTCCTTTGTTACAAGGTCTTCTGTGATGTCAAGGAATGCTCTTAGCAAGTACCATCTTGACTTATCCGAATATTCCATCTGTTGGGCAGCTAGGATATTATGCCCTTCAGAAAAGGGAGCAATTCATTCATAGGCTATGACATATCTAGAGGTGAATTCAGTGTTGAAAATATTAGTAGCAACCATTTTAATTTTGAGCCTATTCTCCTTAGCAACAAAAATAGTAAAAGGAAAAGTATTCCTCTTTGGGGTTTATGTTTGTACTTTTGTTCTTCTATATGTTCTTAGTAAGGATGATATGATGAAATCTATTTTTTTCTGAATTTGTATCACTTTACCCTGTAGAAATTGTTGTTAGTAAACACAGCATTTATTAAATGACATAAAAGCATTAACAAAACTTACCAATTATAATTCTAATAAATGTTGGATTCTATACATTAATAATAGTCAATAAATATTTTTAAGTTCCTACTATGTGCTAAGCACTATGTTAAGTCCTGTGGATAAAAATACGAAGAAAAGAAAGATTGTGCCTGCTTCACAGAGCTCACAATCAAATGGGGGGGGAGAAATTATATAAAAGAAGGCTAAAAATAAGAGGTAAGAAGTCAAAGAAGTCCTTAGTAGTGTAGCCAGGTGAAAAATGAAGTAATGTATGAGCTGAGCTCCTTCCTAAAATGGAAGCTTGGTAGTTCATAGTTTCATCCTCCAATCAGAGGGCCCAAGAGTAGTGATAAAGTGGATTATCAAGTCTTATGGGATTGTTCAGAATGAGGTTTTCACAAAAAATGAGCTTCCTGGGGGCACTGTGGAAAAGTCAGAGAAGTCTCAAGGTAAGAATTGATATTTCAGAGCAAAACTCTGTCTATAAATAGAAGTTTCTAAATGATTTTTAAAATTCAAAGTGTGCCTGCTATCAATGTCTAATTATTAAACCTGAATGATTATTTCTGATAAGCAACATTTCCAAAATCCATGAGCTCCATTCTAGTAGGAGCTCAGTTGAGAGCTGCATTAATTCCCTCAGGCCATGAGGATACCATTTGATAAATTTTTGTTTCAATGGATGTTTTATGCTCAATCCTTTTGATGATGAAATTTCTTTGGAAGAACTACACTGATTTACTAGTGTTATTTTATCTATTTATGTTCAGAATATTCTCCTTTATTTTTTCATACAGGAAATAGCTGACAACTTGCACAAACTTGCAACTTGACAATGATAACAGACTAAACATTCCCTCCAAAAATGTAAGTCTCCCTTGACTTTCTGGTCTATACCATATATTCATTCATCCATTTTCATCTCAGGAATTTATGTGCATGAAAATTAGAGTCTTGTTCATTCTGATGGCATTGTTTAATATTAGGAATGCCCAAAGTCTTACTGCAGTTTTAGGATTTATTAACTTCAGAAGTATAAACGCTATAATGGTAGAAGAATGTCATTTGGAAGTTTAATTACTTAATTAGCCTTTATACTTAAATTTACTTTTATGAATTTTGTACAGGATATTTTATTCAAATTTTAACAAAATAGGACACTATTTTTTAATATAGGATATGTTAAAGTTTGTAGATAGCACTGTCTCAAAATGTCAATTAGAAGAGGAGGTATTCTTGTTTAAACAATTCAGTCAACTTATCTATCTCCTTAGACTCTTTTTTTTGTGGGGGAAGAGGGATCATATCACAGCTGGCATTTATGCATCAAAACTTTGTTTTTTGAATGACCTGAGGTCTAGTCTTACAAATGCAGTCTTTTCAACCTTAACAGTGTCTGGCACATGGAAGACTCTTAATATATGTTTACTAATTGATTATTGATTGATTCAGTTGATGAACACAATCTTATGGAAGTTTTCTTAAAATAAATTTTGAAAATCAACTAGAGTGATATATAGCGCAAAACTGAATTGTAATAAGAATAATGCCAATATTTTAAAAATTTAAATGAATTTAAAAATAAGTTAATAGCATTTTACTTTTGTAGTTATTAAAGCTTAAAACTTTGTGTATGTATTGATCCTGAAAGATCATAACCATTTCAGTCATTGTTGAGAAAGAAGAATGTATAGATAGGCCATATACCAGTATAGTTTTGTGAGTTCTGCCAACTTTGATATAAGCTTAAACAGTTTAAGAAACAGAAACTTTATTTCAAAATTGCTTCCACATAAAAATGACTTTTTGTAAGTCACTTTTTTTTTTGCTAGTAAAAAGAAGGGGCCAAGCATGGTGGCATACATTTATAAATCCTCCTAATGCAAGGATACTTCTGTGGCACAGTGGATATAGCACTGGGTCAGAAGTCAGAAATACTCATCTTCCTGAGTTCACATTTGAGAAGGGGAAAGTCATGCCAAATTAAAAATGAAACATATCCTAGCTTCTATAATGATCAGTATTGGGATAGTGATCATGAGTGGGCCCTGTACTTGCAACCTGAGTGAAATTCCCCAAAACAAAACATGGATATCAGCAACAACTAAATGAATAAATAAACAGACATGTATTGAGGTTTTCAAGATGATGCTTCAGTTGCTTTCTCACTCTAAAAAGACTACTATTGATGGTAATGATGATGATGGTGATGGTGAATGGATCTATCTTGTTTTATGGAATTCAGAAAGAAACAGTCCCAGGACAAGTTGCTATTTATTGATTTTTTATTCATGATAATCTATAGAACACGACATACATGGATTAAATAACTGAATTTTTGGTAGTTGAATAGATTATGAGTCTATTAACTCATCTTCCATAAGCTTATAGAAAATATGCTCAATATAGATGTAGTAACTGATAAGATGATGGACATACTATGTATCTCCTTCTGTTCCTACAGAATCTTGATTTCTTCTTAGAAGTTTCCCTCTTTATTTAAGATATTTTGTTGCATTCAAATCAGAGATTATTAGTATTTGATATGATTTCATCTACCTAAAAAATTCTTACATTTTTGATATTATTTATGGACAATATAGGCAACACATCTTTTTTTTTTTTTTATCCTGTTTTAATGGTCCAGTTCTGGTACAGATTATTTGTTGAATTCTGAAGGATATTTTGAGATCTGAATTTACAGTAGAGGATTTGTCATCCCTTAGTCTAAGCAAAATATCGAAATTTGGATACTGAATTTAAGCCATTGGGTGATGTTATGGCTATAAGTGATAGATGCTGCATTGTAAGCTGTAGAAATGTATTACAGTTTCTACTACTTTCTTGCATACTTCTCATTGATCAACAACTCCAGGCTCCTTAAGAATATATTCTTTGCAATTTTTTCCTGAATGGCTATCAACAACCCTCCATTTCCAGAAAGAAAGCCATGTAATCCATCCATTTGTTTAAAAGATCTTTGTTGACATACGGTTAATTGACTAAATGTGGACGCTGGCATTGAGGGGTTTTTGATTCAATTCTTGGATTTTAGACACTTTATACACTTTTCCTGATAGTAAACTACTTTTGCTTATGTTCAACAAATCCAATAGTATATGCCCATTTTCAACCTTTAGTATTAATTATTAAAATTATTTCTGTTTGTGTGATCTGAGAGTGTATTTTGAAATTCTTCCTTTTTTTAAGGAAATGTTAAAATCTCTAAACTGACTTTAGTGTCTTATTATGTTTTAGGAGACTTTCCAAGTCTTGTACAGTTTATTTTGTAATTCTAAAAATATTTAAGAATGACATTCTGTATATATTAATAACTACATTCTTTCCATTGAGCTTTAATTTCAGGATGTGGACAAAGACCAATTTTTTTTCTTTATTGATCTTGCCTGGGGAAGAACAAGATACTTGCCTATTAGTTCAGCTTAGGGTATTACTTTCTGTCTTTTCTTGGTATATTTTAATAATTTTGGCATTTTGGTATTATTGATAAAAGATTCCACAAGCTAAAACCATTGTTTAACATCTTTTTCAGTGTTCACATAATTCAATGCATCCAATGACATTAAGTGATTAAGAAGGTATTTTGGTATAACTCTCTCATAAACTTAGAAGCCATGTTTCATTCAACTATTTAGGATAGAAGATATCTGATTTAAGGGGAGACATAAATTTGTCCTATACAAAGGTGATATTCTGACCTTTTCAAAATAAGTATTTACTGTTCTCTTTCATGAAGGGTGGTTTATGTTGAGATATCTGAGTAGAAGTTGCTAAATAGTTTTGCTAGTTTTATGTAAAAATTTTTTTTTCCATTTTATCTTCTGTGATACTCTCTATATTTTGTTTCATCTTGAACTGTTTGCCTATCTAGGGTTCTTACTATAGAAATGGCTACCATATATATGATTATGTAGAGATCTTGAAATAATTTTTACATCTTGTGTTGAATATTGTGTCTATTCATATATTTATTCATGATAGTTGTAGCAGATTAGTTCTTTTTAGAATTACTCTTTTGGTATGCTTCATCTATTATATATGCTGTTAATTTAAAAAAAAAATAGGAGTCCAGAATAAGTATGCTCATTTTCTTTTCAAACATTTGTTACACCAGAATTGTTTTTATAAACATTTTGTTATTAGGTGGTATATCTGGAGCATCCCTGGAAGGAAAAGTGTTTAATATGAATGGTTTTTCTGTTTTTCCCTTTTTGGATTTGACTACCTCTTTTTTTTCACCTTTTGTTTTATCTAGTCTGAGTTTAGGAGTGAAGTTATTTGCTGAGATTACACTATCAAACATTTCTTAAAATTGTATGGTATAGTAAATGCATGTAATGAAAATATTTGTGTTTTTGTGTCTTCATTCCATTTCATATGCATTTGTGGTCTGCCTGCATTAGTGACTGGTACTATCTACAGTGAATCATTTCTCAGAATGTCTTGCCTTCCCATAGTAAGAGGAAATGGAGCACAACTGTATCCATTGCCCTCAGTGTGAAACTAATCACGGTGAGGATTTCTATCAGGGCAGGGCACCCTATGCTGACCTGTTTCTTTGACTAGGGAATTGTTGAACCACATTTACTAGACTGAACCTTATTAATGATATTACTAGAGTGCAAATCATCAATGTTTTAGAGTTTGTGTTAGGCCTTCAAAGTTATGATAACAGTTTCAGTTAATATAAAATCTCTGCTGAACATAACTCTGCTTGGTGTTCTCTTTTCCATTCCCTATGTACATCTTATAATGCATACATACAAATATACATATATTCACACATGTATACACACATGTGCATATGCATATATACACTATGCATACCTGTATCTGTCTACCTATATGTAGGAGTGGCTTTAAACAGGTTAATCATCATCATCATCATAATGTTAGTTAGAAATAATTGTAGTCGATTTATTATTTATTTTTACAAGGATTTTCATTATACCTTATAGGGTCCTCTCATAGAGTGAATGGATTTTTGGAGAGTACATATAGATTTTCACATATGAAATTTTTCCAGCAACTAAAAATTTACATATCAATCACTTTAAAGTTATTAGTACTTGACATGCCTACAACTTTACTCAAAAAAGTTATCATTAATTATTAACATGTAAACAAATAGTTAAAGTGTTTTCAAAAATATTTCACTTTATTGTGTTAAATATTTGCTCCCTCTCTGATCTAATTTAAAATAAGACATAATATTGATTTTGCAGGTAGGATAAATAAATCTTCATTACTGTGCATTGAATCCCTCTGAATAGCTTCATTGAGAATAGTCCTATAGTCCTGAATACATTTTTGGTAGAATTATGCTTTTTAGCATAAAAAAAAGTTATGAATTCCTGTTGATAAACCAGCAGCTAGGTAGTGTAGCAGATAGAGTGCTTGACCCAGAATCAGGAAGACCTACTTTCAAATCTGGGCCTGGACGTTTACTAGTTGTGTGAACCTGGACAACTCGCTTAATCTTGTTTCCCTCAGTTTCCTCACCTGTAAAATGAGTTGAAGAAAGAAATGGAAAACCACTCTAGTACTCTTGCCAAGAAAACCCCAAATGGGGTCACAAAAATCAGATACAAGTGAAACAGCTGAACAACAACAATTGTTAAATAAAATGCACCTATGAGATAATTAAACATGTAGGTAAAAACCAAATAGAAATTTTATAGAATATATTTAGGTGAGAATCAGCCTTATGCCCACATGAATTTATAATGAAAACACCATTCACACATAGACAGTGACATCACTTCAAATTATTAGGATTCCTTATATGTTACATATTCAACAAAGGATTTATATAGGCTTGAAATAATGTTAGTTGAGATCTTGTCCATTCCCTTACTTCAAAGATGAGGAAAGTTGCTCAAGGCTGTGCAACTAGCTAATGGTATTAGCCAAAATCAGTGGGTTTCAGTTAAATTCTATTTCTATAACATTGTATTGACTGTTGATTTGCATATAGACTGAATGTGGCCAATGAAGGAAGCACAGAAACCAAAAGGGATATTAATATTATGTGTCCAGTGGATGAGTACAATATCCTGCAAGAAATTAAAAAGAAATTGTTGACTTTTTTTTGTGCTTTTGGAAGCTAGTACATAAATGATAACACTGAGGAATAAAGAGACCATAAAACAACATTATGCATAGTCAGGAAAGAGCAGCAGCTGAACCAACAGAAGCTGGGCCAGGTAGCTCTACAGTAAAGGTATATGAAAAAATACATTATGCAGCTACTCAAGTAAGAATAGAATAGCCAATAAAGTGAAGTCAAGAGATCTTAAGAGCTGCATATATAAAAGATAAATTGCTTGTAAATTATTACTTGTCTTCTAAGTTTCAAAAAAAGTTTCATGGAAAATACAGGAAATTTCAGGAGAATTTTGTTTCTGGTTCTTCAAAGTCCTTTGGAGAAGGGTTATAAAACTGGGCATACCCTTTGAACCAGCAATGCCACTACTAGGTTTGTATCCTGAAGAGGTCAAAGGAAAAGGACTTATTTGCAGGAAGATATTTATAGCAATTCTTTTTTTTTCCTTTTTTCTTTTTTTTTTTTTTAGTGCAAAGAATTGGAAATTGAGAAGATGCCTATCAATTGGGGAATGGAAAAACAAGCTGTGATATGGGATGAAGATGATTAAATAATATTTATTGTATTTTAAGAAATGATCAGCAGAATGTTTTCAGAAAAGCCTGTGAAGACTTAAATGAACTTATGCAAAGTGAAGTGAGCAAAAACAAAACATTTCATACAATAACAGCAATACTGTATGATAATCAACTGTGAATGACTTAGCTATTCTCAGCAATATAATAATCTAAGATGATTCTGAAGAACTTATGAGGAAACTGATTTCCACCTCCAGAGAAAGAACTGATGAAGTCTGAATGCAGATTGAAACATACTTTAAAAAATATTTTTTGATACATATTTCCTTTTGCAACACAGCTAATATGGAAATGTTTTGCATGTCTGCACATGTATAATCTATATGACATTGTTGCCTTCTCAAGGAGGAGAGTGGTGGGAGGGTTATAGAGACCTTGGAACTCAAAATTTAAAAAAATAATGTTAAAATTTTTATTTACATGTAATTGAGAAAATATAAAATAAAAATTAAATGCACACTTAGAAAAAGAAACAAAGTCCTTTGAGGAAAGAATATTATTCTTAGAGCAACTTCCTAAGGCAAACAAAATTAGGGAAATTTTTAAAGAAAATGATGTAATCAAATATCTAAAGAAAGCAATTTACATTGGGAGAGTCTACTTTTATTTATCAATGTTTTTTCAAGGCAGGAACCACATTAATTTCCAAAAGGGTACAAAGCACTGGGAGATAAATGAACTTGATGAAAAAAAAAAAGGAAAGAAAGAGAGAAAGAAAGAAAGAAAGAAAGAAAGAAAGAAAGAAAGAAAGAAAGAAGAAAAGAAAAGAAAGAAAGAAAAGAAAGAAAAAGAAAGAAAGAAAAGAAATGGTCTTGGTTCTACCTAGTTATTAAAAAATTTTAAAATTAGAGAAGACATCCTTAAAGAATGTTTAATCAGAGGAATAACTTGCTTCAATATGTAGGCAGTCATTTAAGTATTCACCTTTTAACTGAAAAAAAAAGATTTTTTTTAGCTAAAAATGTGTATTGAATATGCAATCCACTTTAAAAGTTAATTGGATTTTAAAATTTTTTGAAAAGCATTTATTAGAATTAAGCTCTGGAAAGATCAAATACATTTGTAGAAATGAAATGGAATAATTTCCTATTTACTCTCTCAATAAAAAAAGTTAATTTCAAGCCATTTGAATATAGTAAAGTTGTAGACTTTGGGGAAATCCATTGAAATTGGTTCTTTAGTGAAATGGGATTATTTGAATGAATTGAAAAAGACTGGATAAAGGAAACTTTATTTTCTTTTAATCAAATTTACAGCTCATGAAAAGTGTCAGGTAGATAAGGCTTAGCTGTGAAATTTCATAATTATTCACAGATGTCCAAAGAAAGTCTCATAAGATCACATCTGTGTATTCCTAATAATTTTCCAGTAACAGTTAAAATAGAGACTGTGAGAGGCAAAAAAAAAAGGATGACTTTTAAAATAGAAGAAATATTTAAGTGAGGTGGAACGAAGTAGGTGTTAAAAATTTCTTAAATTTTCCTGTTTTTATTTTTTGTGCAATTTTTATCATTCTTGTATTCTTAGAAATTAAATGATATTCTAATGAAGATAAAAATATTCCCATTTAATTTTTGTATGGTACTCCAATAGAATTTTTAGACTCAGTGTAATCTGGTAGCTGCACATCTTGGGAAAAGACTGGGGGAAAATTTGTTTTATGTCTATCCACAAATAATCATTGTAGCTCTTTGGGAACCAAAATTGCATATAGTGATATTTTAATTTATTAATCATTTGGGATGAAACAGTTCTACTTTTTTAAGCCTTTGCTGAAACAACCATAACATTTTCAAAATCCATTAAAAACAGCTTTTCTTATATTTACAACAGAGCATTGCCCCTACCCAATTAAAGCTAAACAGGTCTGAAATTAGGTAAGGTTATCAAGTCTTTTAAATGTATCATCACTATCCCCAATTTCTTCTTTCTTGTTTCTTTCCTGACACAATGACAACTTCCACCTTTTCAGGCAACCATGTCCTCATTCCCCCAGCCTCTATTTCTTTTCTTCTACTGACTATGCTTTAGTACAGCATGTATTGAGGCTCAGGGAATTTGATGTGATTGTCAAATATAAATAAACTGTATTGAAGTTCTCAATATTCAGATAGGAGGATATGTCCACATATCCTGTAGCTTATATATTATATTCAGAAAGGTTGTATGTCTATTTTCTGGTTATGTTTAATACTAGTCAGAAAACCACCTTCTGCTGCCTTAATAAGGGGTTTTCTTCAGATCTATTACTCTGAGAAATCTGGGAAATACAAGTATAAATACAGACATAAAAGGTCATGCTTTCTGGAGCAATTCCTAGAAAAAACTTGGTCTCTAACTTTCATTTTGGGTGTAGTTATTTTATAGAATCTCATTTTTGGACAGTTCCTTAAAGACATCTATCTAGTCAAATTCATGCCTAAATGGAAAATTTTAACTGATATCTCCTCACCAAGTGGTTATTTAGCTTCTATTTGAAGGCCATGAGAATATGGAATTATTATTTCCTAAGGTGGCCATTTACATTAGGAAAACATTAATCATTAGGGAGTTTCTCTTCTATTTGGTGTATTATAATTATTTATGTCATCATCATCATCATCATCATTTTCATTTTTTAAAAAAGTCTAAATCTACTTCTGTGTAACATCCATCCTTTTGACCTTAGTTTGTCCTGTAGTTTCAAGCAAAAATAATCTAATTAATCCTTTTGATGACAGGTATTTATATAATAAGCTATCATGATATTCTCTTTTCCTCTTCAGGCTTAGCATTCCCAGCTAAAATGAACAAATTGTTCTCCTGTAATTTCTTAGAGTGAGATTGGTAACATAAGGGAGGGACAATAATTTAATTTCTCATGAGACCTATTCCTTTGTCACCTGTAGGCAAAATAGATCTGTTTGAGCTGTTGAGGATGCTCTAAAGCAGATATTTCTTCAGATGTTCGTTTGCTAATATATCTTCTGAAGTCCTTTCCAACTCTGAAATCTCTCGATTACTTTTTGAGAGAAAAGACAAGAAAAATGGGTAAATAAGTTTCTTTTCTCCACAACAGTGCATAGGGTAGGAAAGCTGTGGCCTTGAGGCCACATATCCTATAAATAGGGTAAATTATATCACAGGAAAAGGCACAAAGACCTATTACAGTAATGGGTAAGAAGGGAGGGGTCGAGCATTGTTTGAACCTTACTCTCATCAGTTTTGGCTCAAAGAGGGAATAACATACACATTCAGTTGGATATAGAAACCTTTCACTCACTATAGGGAAGTAGGAGGGGAAAGGGGAAAGAGGAAAGAAAAGGAAGGTGGAAGATAGCAGGCAGGGAAGAAGTTGGGGAAAGAGGGAAAATAAGGAAGGAGGCAGATAAAAGTGTGAGGAGATTAAGGAAGGCGGTGGTCAAAAGCAAAACATTGGCAGAGAGGGCAAGAGTGAAAGGAGAGAGAAAAATATAAAAAGAAATGGAGGGGAATAGAATGGAGAGAAAGACACAGTAATCATAACTGTGAATGTGATGAATTCTCCCATAAAACAGAGGCAGATAGCAGAGTGGATTAAAAACCATAATCCTACAATGTGTTATTTACAAGAAACACATTTGAAGCAGAGAGATACACACAGAGTAAAGGTAAAAGTCTGGTGCAGAATATATTATTCTTCAGCTGAAGTAAAAAAAAAAGAAGTAGCAGTCCTGATCTCAGACAAAGTAAAAGCAAAAATAAATCTAATTAAAAGAGCTAAAGAAGGAAACTACGTCTTCTAAAGTGTACCATAAAAAATGAAGTAATATCAACACCAACATAAATGCACCAAGTGGTATAGCATCCAAATTCTTAGAGGATAAGTTAAGGGAGTTACAGGAAGAAATAGACAGTAAAACTATACACTGGGGAATCTCAATGTCTCCCTCTCAGAACTGGATAAATCTAACCACAAAATAAGCAAGAAAAAAGTTAAAGAGGAGAGTAGAATTTAAGAAAAGTTAGATAAGGGAGACCTCTCAAGAAAATTGAATAGGGATAGAATGGAATGTACCTTTTCCTTAGGGGTACATGGCACATACACAAAAACTGAACTATACTAGGGCATAAAAACCTCACAGTCCAATGCAGAAAGGCAGAAATATTAAATACATCATTTTCTGATCATGGTACAATAAAAATTACATGTAATAAAGGGCCATGGAAAGATAGACTAAAAATTAATTTGGAAACTAAATAACGTAATCCTGAAGAATGATTGGGTCAAACAATGAATCATAGAAACAACCAATAACTTCATTCAAGAGAATGGCAATAATGAGACAACATACCAAAACTTATGGGATGCAGCCAAAGCAGTTCTTAGGGAAAATTTTATATCTCTAAATGCTTACATGAATAAAATAGAGAAAGAAAAGATCAATGAATTATGCATGTAACTAAAAAAGCTAGAAAAAGAACAAATCAAATATCTCCAAATAAATACCAAATTAGAAATTCTGAAAATCAAAGAGAGATTCAATAAAATGGATATTCAGTCAAAGGAGATATTCAATGAAAATGGAAATTAAGAAAACCAATGAAATAATAAATAAAACTAAGAGCTAGTCTTACGGAAAAAAACAATAAAATAGATAAACCTTTGGTCAATTTGATTAAAAAAAAAAGAATGAAGAAAACCAAATTACCAGTATCAAAAATGAAAAGTTGAATTTACTACCAATGAAGAAGAAATTGAAGCAATGATTAGGAGCTATTTACCCCAATTGTATTCCAATAAATCTGACAATCTAAGTGAAACAGATGAATACTTACAAAAATATAAATTGCCCAGCTTAAGATAAGAGTAAATAAAAAATACTTAAATAACTATATTTCAGAAAAAAGAAATTGTGCAAGCCATCAATGAACTCCCTGAGAAAAAAATTTCCAGGACCAGATGAATGTACAAGTGCATTTTACCAAACATTTAAAGAACAATTAATTCCAATAATATAAAAAAAAACTATTTGGAAAAATAGGCAAAGACAGAGAA